AACTTGTCCTACAAAATGCGAACTTTTCATTTTCGTTCATTTCACAAAGAACGTATTCAACCATCCATAAGAAAGAGAGAGAGAGAGAGAGAGAGAGAGAGAGAGAGAGAATGAATGAATCAAATTTAAGATATCACCTCTTTCAATTTACAATTGTTCATGGGATTATTGGAATCGTTGTCTCCATCTAATCAATCTCTTTGAATTTTCTTATTTTTGGTCCTATTATTCGGCTGCTCCAAGTACTTTTTACAGTGGGGATGCTGTGGTTGGAGAGGTGAGAAGGATAAGGAAGATGGGGGAGAAGGGAGCATTGGTAAAATCGAAGGAGGATGACAACAAAGAAGGCTCATTTTGAGTTTCTAGAGATAAAGTTATGGCCTTGGGGAAAGCGAAGGGTAGAGGAGTATGGGGGAAGGCCTTTTTTTCTCCTAAGAGGAGGAGTTGATAACTAGAATAAATTATTATTTTTAAAGTATATAAAATCTGAAGGCACAAAAAAATAATTTCATGTCCTATGGAAAGCACAATTAATCATGTTTTTAAACTATAATAATTACTCTCATTAACAGTGAGGCGACAAGATGGACGCTGATATTAGCATTGGACACAAAGGTAGTGTCCAAATTTCAATAGGCACAAATATATTTGTTCTTAGACACACATTCACTATGTCTTTTGTGCAAAAGACATCTTTGAGAGAGAGAGAGGAAAAAAACAATAAAATTTCACTTTTTTTGTTTTTTATAATGGGGATTTTTGAGTTTTTCTTGAGTTTGAGTTTTTAAAAATTGGCCTACCAAACTGACTTTTGTAACTTTTGGACTTAAAATATGTTTTTGAGTTTATAAAATTGAATCTAAATAGGATACCAAACATGCCATTGTAACGGAAAAATTGACTGAGATGACGGAAATAACGATTTCTGAAAATAGAGATATAATTAAAGTACTACTGTAATAATTTAGCAATATAAAGAACGAAAAGTAAAGTTTTTCTTACCCCACCGTTACTACAATTTAGCCTATGAAGAAAGTAGAAATGAAAGATGAAAAGGCCTCAGCAGCACCAGATATTTTGAAAGAAAAGATGACGTCCCGTCTCTCACAGTGCTCTCCTTCCTTCGCGCCGAAGGCAGAAGCGCTCCAAAGCGTCGACGTGGAAAATTATAATTGGTCGTTTGTCACTGAGCTGAGCATTTATGAAGCAGAATAGAGCAGCCCTCATATCGTTTGTTTCGGACCAAACCAAAAACAGAATAGTCATGCTTCTTTCTCATACAAACTCTGTTTTATTCCCTCAATGGAAATTGGACCGGTCAAATCATTTTCTTTACTCATCAAAACTTTTTCAAACCCCATTTCGCAGCAGAAATTACCCAGCTTCATTTCCCCCTAAACCCAAAAGGCCAAAATTTTCTCAGGGAAAAAAGAAAAAAGAGAAGAAGAAAAACCTCCCATTTTCTTGGGTTTTTTTTCTTGAGCTTTGATGGAGAATCCAGAAGACTTTATGGTTGAAGAGAGAGAAGAGTACATGATTTCACCAACTGGTGGAAACCCATTTCTCAAAATAGCCTGCTTTCTAAAACCCACTTCGTCATCCTCCATAAATGAACCTCCCTTGAAGCTTACTCATTGTTTCTCCTCCCTCCGATCACATTCTGAGCCAAACAAATGGCCTTTGAAGGTTCAATTTCGCGGATGGTCGCCAGGCCGAGAAGATTGGAAAACTTGGGTTGGTCAAATGGCTTCTGTTCACCAACCGACATGGGAGAAAGCTGGTATATACGAAGCAATCATTAACTCAACGTACCATATAAGAAGAGAGAACGATTTGGTTTATGGGTTCGCTGAGAAATGGTGTTCAGAGACCAATACTTTCATTTTCCCATGGGGTGAAGCAACCATCACATTGGAGGATGTTATGGTTTTAGGGGGTTATTCTGTTTTGGGAGACTCTGTTTTGAGCCCTCTTGAAATCCCACGACTGAAACAAATTCAAAAGAAACTACTTGAATTGCGAAAAGAGATTTGCAAGAGTGCTGGGTTAAGAGACGTTTCCACAAGCTTATGGCAGAAGAAGTTCATGAACAGTGGGAATGAATTCGAGCACGAAGCATTCCTTGTCTTTTGGTTGTCCAGGTATGTTTTTCTTGGTGCTAATTATCTGATACATACCAGAGTTTTCTCCATTGCAATTCATTTAGCTATGGGGACCAGAATTGCCCTTGCGCCGGCTGTTCTGGCTAGTGTTTATAGAGATTTGGGTTTGTTGAAAGGGAAAATTGTAGCTTCAAACCAATTGAAAATAGATGATGCTTTTGTAGAACTCGTCCTTAAGTCACCATTTCAATTAGTTCAGGTTTGGGGATGGGAGAGATTCTTGGAACTTAGACCAAAGCCAAATTGTATCAATTATGCAGAGCCAAGAATGGCTAGATGGGATAAAGTAAACGGCCCGAAAGTTCAAAACTTGAGAATGGTTTTAGACTCAGCTGGTGGAGATTTCCAGTGGCGCCCTTATGCCATGGCCATTGAGAACTGGAATTTGCCTAAATGCTATCCACACAGGGAAAAGTGGGTTTGTGTTGGTCCTGATTTGGATGATGAGTTACTGTCATTTGTTAGATGCTTGAGGGTCAGTGAGCTAGTTGGACTTGGTACTATAGAGAATTACCTTCCGCATCGCGTAGCTATGCAATTTGGATATGATCAAGACCTTCCGTGTTCTGTTTCTCGACCTAATCACAATTCTGATATAGCCTGGAAGCATTACAAGAAGGAAATCAAGAATGTAAAGCTGTATCTTCCATGCAGACTCTTTGAGGCAGATGTTAGCACAAAGTACTTGAAGTGGTGGAAGCAATCAATTTCAGGTCTTGAAGAAGTCGCTGTGCCACGAAAGAAGAGAACGAAGAGAGTGAAATTGTTAGTACCGCCTGGTTTTCCTCCCAAACGTAAAAGAATGGAAGCTGAAGATCCTATTGATGAGGATAAACTAACTGTATCAGAGTATTTGAACTACTGTAAGAAGCATGAGAACTTTGGGATTATACAAGGTAGTGACAGTGAGACATTATCAAGTCAAGCTCAACATTTTGCATCATCTCCAATTGCACAAGAAAATTATGTTAATACCATGAAGTCAGATGAATTTCAGAAACGTCAGTCGGAGCTTGAAGCCAGATTTGAAAGGATTAAAAACGTTGTTGACGAGTTAAGGGCATATATATTTTAGGAAAAGCTTATGAAAGAAGCCCCCCTATGAGTTGGTATGTCCTAAACCTGGTGCAGGGACAATGGAGGAAGAGCACCCAACTCTGGAAATAGCAGAAACTTGGTCTTTTGTACATATTCTATGCATTGCATATGCTGGAATCTTTTGGTAACTACTTAACCTGTTTATCAGAGCCTTGTATATGCCTAGATTTTGTAATTAGGATCTCTTGCCGAGCAAACTAAAAATGTGGTTTGTCTATCAAAGAAGTTAATGTTACTTTTAATGGCTCTAATGTCCAACAAACAATATAACAGGCATTATGTTTATCCATATATTATGACCATGTAAACAGAATTCATGAGTCCACAGATCTTGATGGCATGTTTACTTACTAAAAATGAGAGAAGTCATGAATCGGCGAACTAAGAATAGAGTAAAGAATTGGAATCAGATGAACGGCTTTAAAAGTATTTGATTAGGGATTTAAACATGGATCCCACATAGTTTTGTTTTATTCTTTATGTGTTAGTGGCATGTCGGGAAAGAGAGTAAACGCAAGGAAAGAAGGAATTGAAATAATTCTAGTACTCATTCCTGAATGCAACAAAATTCAGTTACGTTTATCAACTTCCTCTGAAATTGTAGTTTGTAATACAATGGATCAATTACAAAATCTATAGGCTTTTTTCTTTGTACCTCCTAATTCTACCCTTCCCCTTCTAAATCTATAGGGAAATGCTAGTTTGAATATCATAGCCACCTAATTTCTAAGACACCCAAAATGCGTGAAATAGCATTTCTACAAAAACAGAACAAATTCGTGAAATCGTTAAATAATATCATAATTTTAGCGTTCAATCAAAATTTTAGGTTTGCCTATTTATTTCATAATAATTTAATGACTAAACGATTTCTAATTTTATTTATTTATTTATTTTTTATAAAAATGATCTTTAAAGGGCGTCACAGAAAATGAACTAATCCAATCATCTAACTACATTTTAACTACTCAAATCCATTATATTTGTAACAGTCTGTCAAACACAACCATAGTCTTACTTACCCAAAGAAAAAAAGAAAAAACGAAAAAAGAGAATGGCAGGCATAGTCTTTCACGCACCCAGTATTGCTTGGTACAGACGGAAGATTCTGATTGGACGTTCTCCACTGAGCTGAGCCTTCATGCAACAACGTAGCAGAAGCCCTCATTTTGCTGTCTTGGACCGGACAGATGAATCTGTCTTACTCACGTAAACTCTGTTTTATTCCATCAATGGAAACCCCATTTCACAGCATACCAGCATACAACTGAATCAGCCCCTAAACCCCCAAAAGACCAAAACTTTCTCAGCAGAAGAAGAAACGAAAAATCCCCCATTTCCCTTTGTGTTCAAGCTTGAGCTTTGATCATGGAGGTTCCTCAAGACTCCATGGTTGAAGAGAGAGAGGAGTACATGGTTTCACCAACTGGTGGAAACCCATTTCTCAGAAAAGCCTACTTTCTCAAACCCACTTTGCTATCCTCCGCGAAGGAACCTCCTTGAAGCTGCCTCATTGTTTCTCCTCCCTCCCATCCCATTTTGAGCCAAAGAAGAAATGGCCTTTGAAGGTTAAATTCCCAGGATGGCGTAGGATCTCAGAAGACTTCATAACTTGGGTCGACCGCTTAGCTTCTGTACACGAATCTACATGGGAAAAAGCTGGTATTTATGAAGCAATTCTTAGTTCAAGGTACGAAATAAGAAGGCAAGGCGATTTGGCTTGTGGGTTTGCTGAGAAATGGTGCTCTGAGACCAATTCCTTCATTTTTCCATGGGGCGAAGCAACAATCACGTTGGAGGATGTTATGGTTTTAGGAGGTTTCTCGGTTTTGGGGCACTCTGTTTTAAGCCCACTTGAAACCACAGAATCGAAAGAAATTGAGGAGAAACTAAATAAAGAAAGAAGAACACCTTACAGGGATGTGTCTAGGGATGTTCTTGCAAGCGAATGGTTGAAGAAGTTTAGGAACAGTGGGACCGAATTCGAGCATGAAGCTTTTCTTGCCTTATGGTTGTCAAGGCTTGTTTTTCAAGGTTCTAGTTGTGGAATACATAAGCATGCTATATCCATTGCAATTCATTTAGCTAGGGGGACCAGAATTGCCCTTGCACCTGCTGTTCTTGCTAGCATTTATAGAGATTTGGGTTTGTTGAAAAGGGAAATCGTAGCTTCAAACCAATTGAAAAGAGGTCGTGCTACTTCAGAGGCTATTCTTAGGTCACCATTTCAGTTAGTTCAGGTTTGGGCATGGGAAAGGTTCTCGGAACTTAGGCCAAAGCCCAATGATATTAATTATACTGAGCCAAGAATGGCGCGATGGGAAGGAGTTGATGGTCTCAAAGTCAAAAACTTGAGAATTGTTTTGGACTCAGCTGGAGAAGATTTCATGTGGCGCCCCTATGCCATGGCCATGGAGAACTGGCATTTGCCTCACTATTATCCACTTAAGGAAAAGTGGGTTTTGGTTGGTCCAGATTTGGATGATGAATTACTGTCCTTTGTTAGATGCTTGAGGGTCAGTGAGCTAGTAGGACTTGGTACTATAGAACACTACCTTCCGCATCGCGTTGCTATGCAATTTGGATTTGATCAAGAACTTCCATGCTCTGTTACCCGTCGTTGCAATGCTGATGTAGCCTGGAAGCATTACAACAGGGAAATCAAGAATGTTAAGTTGTATCTTCCACCTAGGCTCTTCGAGGCGGATGTTAGCACAAAGTACTTGAAATGGTGGAAGCAATCAGTGTTAGGTCTCGAAGATGCAAATGAAGCTGCTGTGCCACAGGAAAAGAAAGATCAGAGTGTCACGTGCTCACTACTAAGGGCTAACCACACCCCTGCACCTCCTAGTTTCCCTCCCAAATGGGACAGGATGGAAGCTCCTATAAATGAAGATAAACTAACTGCATCAGAATTTTTGAAACATAGTAGGACTAAGAAGCATCGAAATTTGGAGATTAGACACGATGGTGACAGTGAGAAATTATTATCGGATAAAGTCCAATTGGCATCTCCAATTTCAGAGAAAAAATTCAATACGGACATGGTGAGCATCGTAGGAAATGAATGTCATAGCCGTAGCTCTTTATTTGAGAAAGGTCTATTGGAGTTTGAGAAACGAGATTCAGAGCTTGAAGTTAGGTTCAAAAGGCTTGAAAGTGTGGTTCAGGAGTTAAAAGCACATAGGTCTGGGACAAGTTTCAGGAAAAGTTGATCAAAGACAGCCCTCCGTTGAGTTAGTATTCCTAAACTTGATTATTGTTACTGTGTTTTTGCTTCAATATCGTTGATGGATACCTTTTTTTCCTTTTTTTCATCACTTATGTGTGCAAATTTGAAACAAAAGCACACTTTTCATCCATTGTGTTTGTATTCTATGCTGCTTCTGAATTGATTGTTGGTTGCTTGCTTGGTGTCTGAATCTGGATTTTGTTTGTTTGTTGGCTGAATGAGAAGGTTGAGCATGAAAATTTGATTTTTTTTTTAACAAACCAGTCACTTTTTAAGTGGAATGAAGTAGTGCATTCTGAAAAATTTGAATGACGGGTCACAAGTAAACAGAGACAAGCCCTTCAGGTTTAATTTCAATTTTAGTTAAAGTATTTTCTTCTAAACAATGCTATTAATGCTCTAAAAAGAAGCTAGGGAACTGACGGAAGAAAACTCACACTTTATACAAAACTATTGTAATCCCGTTGCCCAAGTTCGATTGTGATCTATCTTATCCAATAACCCTGCATACTGTAAAAATAATATAATGCGGAAACTCAAGTCTTATAACTGATGGCGAAACCTTGTGAAGTAGTTTAAGACACTCAAAGTCATTAAGTTTCAGCAAGATATCGACCTCTTACGATCAAGAGTTAAGTTTTTCTCTACTTTTTTTTTTGGGTGCAAGGAAATCGGAGGAAGAGAGTTGGACTCTGGAAAAATCAGAAACTTCTTGTTTTATGGATTGCTTATAATGCAGCTGGAATCTTTCTGTGTCTACTTAACCTGTCCATCAAAGCTGTGAACCTACATTTACAAATCGATTGTGATCTTACTGAAAATACTATCAAAACATTGTTGTTTGTCAACCAAAGAAGCTAGTTATTTTTAATGGCTCTATTGTCCAGGAAACTACATCACTGTCACTGATCTTGAATACAAACAAATTCAGTTCCACTTCTATTTCTGTTATTCAACATGATATGGACTTTTCTCTTGAACTTGTGGAGTTAAGTTTTTGGTTTCAGGAATTGTAGTCTATAATACAAGGAATCAATTACACAGCACATACTTGTGTGTTATATCTAGCATATAAATTTTTTTGGCATGCCTAATTGAAAGATGTACAATACGCTAGGCAGCGGAATGTTTCTGCTTTTATCTTTGACGGATTTTTTGTATACTGATGTTTTAAGCTCATCAAAATACTGGATTTATTTATTTACGCTATAGTGAGATTAAGATTCTGGTCTGAAATACTGAAAGATTCTGGTCACTCTGGACAACAAAAGTGGGGGAAATTTTGACTTGATAGCCGGCATCATTTACAGTGATTGATGTCAAACGGCCATTACTACAAGCTATCCTAAACCAATTCAGGGGGAATGCATCGGAATCAAAGGACTTTGAATCCATGAAACAAGAACTTTCCCAGAAGTCTGCATTACACCTTGTCTGTATAATGTATTATGTATACTGTATAATGTATATGGCCAAACTTTACCTGGACAGTAAGTGTACACATACACCCAATGGAAAGTAATAGTTTCCACTTTAGAGCCAGTATGTTGTTTTAACACAGTAACCAACTTCCTCAGACAGATAGAAAATATAGAGCCAGAAACAAATTCCAATTAGAGAACAAACAGAAATAGAAACTTCAATAATATCATTCAACTTGGAAAAAATTTGTTAATTCAGAATCACATCCTCGATTTCTTTATTCTTAGAAATTAAAGAATTGCTAATCAATCAATTACAAAGTGGAAACTGTAACCTATACATCATATCATATACAACAAATAACAGAGCCAAGGTGGCCAGTTTCTATACTTCAAGAGCAGATCTCGCCTTCCTCCCACCAGATCTCTCCTTCCTCCCAATCTCCATTTAAAAAGGCCTCCTCGTCCTGACCTTGCAACTCATCATCTTCCCTGAGGAATACACCCAATTTCTTAAGCGGCAATCCGAGGCGGACCTGTAGACAAGGATCTTCGCTGCCACAGCCACACAGCATCTCAAGTTGTTTGAGATCCTGTAAAGGGTCCTCAAATTGCACTGACTTCTTCATGTTCGAAATGGCACGGCGAGCCAACTCCCTTTGCTTCATCCGCTGCATCGATTTTCTCCTTGGTGGAGAATCAGGTACACCCATAAGTATCTTGTTTGCTTTCAATATTGTACCTGAAAATCGTAGCTTTAGTGCATGAATTCGGACAGCCTCACGTTGGGAAAGATTCTCTGAGGCCTGATCCATGGCATTATCAACAAGGGTGGCCAACTCATCGTGTTTGGTTGAATCAACTGACTGAGAATCAGAAACACCAAGCCCTTGACTTTGAAGAACGCTAGAAGGAGAAGAGGTCTTGCCCTGTTTCAATTTGGGTAACACTGCCAAACCCTTGACTTTGGGCAGAGGAGAAGGACAAACAGACTTGGGGTTTTTCTCCAGGACTTCCTTCCACTTGCTCTCAAAAACACCACTGAGATGCTTGGCTGCTGCACGCTCAATCCTCCCAGGTGGATAATATCTTAAAGCATTTGACAAGGTAAGCCTCACATCAGCAGCAAACCCATCAGGACTGGAGTAGACACCCCTCTCCAATTTGGATTTCACAGTACCGAAATCCATCGGCCTCCAGATGTCGTGGACATAAACCGGATCAACCACCACAGGCTTCTCAAAGTACCTACTCACATGGCGGAGGTTCATCAGACACCCCAAAATTTCAGAACAATCAAACTCAAAACCTAGTTTTTGCCTCTTGATCTTCTGAGTCTGACAGAGACCATCAAAACCTAACTCCTCCGACTTTCTATGCTTTCTAGGAGACGAAGCCAAAGGGATGGTCTTTATCTGTTTGGGCGACAAACCCTTGCGCAAAGGAAGAGAAGTAATCGGCTTTTTCTCCACGGCTAAATTCTGTTGGGTCTCAAAAACCCTAGAAACCCTCTTGATCTTCTGGGTCTGAAACGGAAACTCAAACGGAGCAACGCCATCCCCCAATTGTTTACGCTTTCGATTTCGAGTAGACAACGTCATTCTCGATTCTCGACTCCAAAACCCAAAATTCGCACAATTGTTGGACAGTGAGTGAGAGAAAGAACTCGCTCGCTACTTTTAAAACCCAGAAATCACAAATCGTTGCAGAGAAGAAGAGAGAGAACTCGCTCCTTCTTGAGCCCAGAAAACCACTCGATCGTTGCAGACAAACAGAGCGACAACTCGTTGCTTCGTAAACCACTCGACCCAAAACTCGCCTCGCTCGTTGCAGAGAACAGAGAGAATGGGAGAGAGAAAGAGAGTTTTGGAAACTAAGGAGTGCAGTGCAGTGTTCAGGATTTAGGGTTTGCAGAGAAACAGAGCGAGAGAAAGAAAGAGACGATAAAAGGAGGGGAATGTAAGCGTTTTGGCGCTAACGGTCTTCTTTTTGATGTTCAAAACGAAGGTCGGTGCTGTGACTTGGTTGGCACTGAAGCTTTGTAAAACTTGCATACGCGTGATAAAAGTAAAACAGAAACCCGTAAACATGGAATAAAAAATATATATTTTCTTTCCTATTCCTATTCCTATTCCTATTCCCAAATGGTTTGGGAATAGAAATAGGAAACACAAAATTAAAAGGTAAAATAAGAAACACAAAATTAAAAAGTTTGATTTACTTATTTATAAATCAAAAAATATTTTCAGACCCATCACCCAAAATTTAAAAGCTGTAGTCATTTATATTCATTTAGGATTTTTGTATTTAAAAAGAAAAATTGGAAAGTTTGTCTATGATAAAAAAAGAAGAAGTGAAAATTCAAAAAAATTAATTATGTAAAACTTCAGCCATGGATGGATGGTAAAATACCTTGATAAATTAAAGAAAATCAATTGAAAATCAATCTACCTAGGTATAGATGCAACTTATTGATGATATCAGTTTCTAACCCTAGTGAAAAATAAATAAATAGTTTCCAAATTAATCTAGATAAAAAGAACAAGAGAGCAAGATAAATTTAAGCCACAAAAGATAAGTATGGGGTACCTAAATATCATAGGTGTAGAGATACTCGCCTAATCCCCGAAGACATGTCCGATTTTCGTACTAGTTACTTATCTTTTTCTCAATAATATACTATCATCTTTCTCTAAAAAAAAAAATTATATATATATATATATCAAAGAAAGTGAGGCAACAAACAACAACATTTGGATGGTAACAATGGTAGATGGGAAGAATATCCTTGTAGTACGTCATAAATAGATGTGGAAAATTTATTCCTAGTGTGACGCAATGATCTACTTTCGCTGTCACACACTTCCCTAAACCCTAATTTAGTTCTATTTCCGGTGTTGAGAGGACCCATTAACAATATATGTGTCCCATTAACAACATATGCATAGACAATTGGTCCAATACATTCCCAAGGAGCTCTAGTTCTAATGGCAGCCCGTCACATCTTATAAAAAGAAAAACAGTAAGTTAGACAACAATTCCACATGTCCTATATTTATTGGATGGTACACCAACCACGTGGTGTGTCAAACAAAGTAGGGCAAATGTTCAATTATGCTAAGATACACTCATATTGACTCATATTCACACATATTATTATTCTTCTCCAATATGGAGGTATTTATAGAGAAGTACAACCCTAAATAAAATAGAAAATAAATCTCAATTATAATAGGACTAGATAAATGGTAAGTAACTAAAATCCTAACATAGTAAGGAACCAAAATCCTAATTAAGTAAGAACTCGTCAACACTCCCTCTCAAGTTGGGCAAAGATATTTCGTAGGCCCAACTTGACAAGCGAGTAACAGAACACCATACTTGAGAAGCACCAATTGTAGAGAAGGTATTTTAGTCAACCACGAGTGAAACAAGTGACAAACTAAAACAAAGTTTGCAGCGGAAACACAAGAGCAAACTCTAAAAAATAGGGCACATAGCAAAACACAGAAACCCTGTGAGTACGGCAATAGGTAAGGCAGAACACAGATACCCTGTGAGCATGGCAGTATGTAAGGCAGAACACAGAAACCCTGTGAGCACGGCAGTATGTAAGGCAGAACACAGAAACCCTGTGAATAAGGCAGTAGATAAGGCAGAACACAGAAACCTTGTGAGCACGGCAGTAGATAAGGCAGAACACAGAAACCCTGTGAGCACGGCAGTAGGTAAGGCAGAACACAGAAACCCTGTGAGCATGACAATAGGGAAGACAGAACACAGAAACCATGTGTGCACGGCAGTAGATAAAGCAGAACACAGAAACCCTATGAGTACATCACAAAAACCCTATGAGCACAGCAGTAGATAAGGCAGAACACAGAAACCCTGTAAGCACGACAGTAGGTAAAGCAGAACACAGAAGCCCTGTGAACACGGCAGTAGATAAGGCAAAAACCAAACCTTAAAAAATAGGGTAAGGCAAGGTAAAGCCAAACCTCGAAAAAAATAAGGTAAGGCAAGGCAAAGAAAGTCAAGAGCAAAGGCAAGGTCAATGGGTGTGACCACAATGGAGACACACCAACAAAGGCATGAGCAACAATACTGGCATCATAACAGGCAGGAGCAACAATACTGGTACTAACAACAGTAATACAAGGCACTGGCACCAGCAAGAGCAACAAGGCAAGGACATAACAGGCATCATCAACAATAATCAACATTGTCCCCAGCAAGAGTCATAATAGGCATGAGTAATAACATTGTCCCCAGCAAGAGACCTAACAGGTATGAGCAACGGTACTGGCACTAGCAAAGGACATAGTAGTCAGCAGTAATAACAATGACAAATACTTCCATTATTGCATAGACAACTTCTCTTCACTCTTTCTCTCGCCCTGAAGAGAAGAGGTCGTCGGAACCATAAGAAAAGTGGCACTTAAGAAACAAAAGCAGACTGATGCTCAGATGTAGAAGAATCAGCCATGGCAGATAGGTAGCTGAATTGCAGCGGAATAGATGAGCAGCAATGTCACTCCCCCTCAAATCCGACGATGTATGAGAGTCGAGATTTGGAGAAAGTAACACCCAAATAAATAGACAGTAAGAAAACACAAATGTTTCTGGGCAGGAAGTGAAACACATTATCAAATGGGAAAAATGGCCATATAGGCGTGCAGAGGACCAGAGCGGCTATGCAAAGGGAACAATGGCAGTGTAGCTCGGCAGGACAGAGAGAGACAAAGGCCAGCTATGAGAAGGCTCGGCGAGCGGTGACGAGGCTCGTGGAGGTTTAGATGACTCGGTGAGCGGTGACGAGGCTCACGGAGGAAAGAGATCAGGCAATCAATGGCCAAGGGGTGTGTTGCCCATATGGTATACATTTAAAAGAGAGGCTCGCAAGAGATTGAAACTAACATGGGCTCAATCTGATTTTAACAGAAAGCAAGCTCATAGAGAGATGAAAAGTAAGAGAAAAAAGGCAGCAGCAGGCATGGGTAGAGAAAAAGAAAGGTAATGACTCAACATAAACACGGTAAGGACAGAGACAAGGGTAAAATTGCAGAAAGGTGCGGCTATGGCTAAGGCAGAAGAAATATATGTTGATTATTAAGGAAAGGAGAAATGAGGATTTACATCAAGGTAAAGACCCATGATGGGTTAGGAATGAGGAACACCAACGACTCTCAATTTGTCAGAGGATCTCAAGGATTAGCAACGACTCTCAAGGAGACCACAAACATAGGTCACAAGAAAACTTAGGCTCTGATATCATGTCAAACAAAGTAGGACAAATATTCAGTTATGCTAAAATACACTCATATTGACTCATATTCACACATATTATTATTCTTCTCTAATATGGAGGTATTTATAGAGAAGTACAACCCTAAATAAAATAGGAAATAAATCTCAATTATAATAGGACTAGATAAATGGTAAGTAACTAAAATCCTAACATAATAAGGAACCAAAATCCTAATTAAGTAAGGACTCGCCAACATGGTGTACCCGAAACATATAAAAATTTCTCCACTGTGGGTAGTTGATTGTATATCTTATAGTGAGCTGTGAGTTTTTATCTTTTTTTTTTTTTTTGGTTGCATAACCACATTTTCTTCTACTTTTCCACCTCCCACCTTTGTCTATTACCATTGTCACTAGGGGTGGGCATCTTAAACCGAAATACCGAAACCGTACCCTAACCGCACCGTACCGTACCGATTTTATACCGTTTCATTGGTACCGATAGATATTCGATACCGTACCGTACCGTACCGAATAGAGTATGGTATGGTAGCGGTATCAAGATTTTGATACCGGTCAATACCGTACCGTACCGAATAGTACTTAAATTTAATTTAATTTAATTTTTTTCATTCTCTCACTGTCTCTGTCTCTCACTTGCCTCTCAAACTGATAAGATGATGAAGCTTATAATATATAATATATAATATAATATTATACTAATTGACTACTATTTTCATGATCTGGTTCTGCTATATATTATATACACAAATTCAACAAGTAGGAAAATGAACCATCCAACAGTTGCAACTTGCAAGACTTTACGATGCCATTTTTCTCAAAGCCAAACCCGTGCAAACTCAAAGCCAAACCCTCTCACATAGAAACACAGCACGCTCTCACTCTCAGACTTTCAAGTTAGCCCGTGCAAGCTCTCCTCCATACCCAGACCCAGCTCCCTGTCTCTCTCTCAATCTCACTCGATTCAAGCTCTCTCCAAGCCAAATCCTTCCCATCTCATCTCGATCTCTCACTCGATTCAAGCTCTCTCTGTCTCTCACTCTCTCGAACTCGATCTGTCACAATGTCAGTCTTTGGATTTCTTGATCTGTCTCTGTCTCACTCTCTTAATCTCTCGATTTCTCTATCTTCCTGATCTCTCTCAAGCTCTCAGCCCTCTCTCAACTCTCTGGAATAAGAAGCATCCCCAAATCGACGAAGGGACAAATGGTAAGTTTGTTGTGATTTTTGTTAATTTATTTAGGGTTAATTAAATACGAATGAAGTTGAGGGATTGTGCTGTGTTGTTGTGATTTTTGTTAATTTTTTGTTAATTTATTTAAGGTTTATGCTATTTATTTAGGGTTAATTAAATACGAATGAAGTTGAGGGATTGTGCTGTGTTGTTGTGATTTTTGTTAATTTTTTGTTAATTTATTTAAGGTTTATGCTATTTATTTAGGGTTAATTAAATACGAATGAAGTTGAGGGATTGTGCTGTGTTGTTGTGATTTTTGTTAATTTTTTGTTAATTTATTTAGGGTTTATGCTGTGTTGTTAATCTTTAGGGTTTATGCTGTGTTGTTACTTGTTAATCCAAGTATAAAATAAAATGCCTATGTGATGACAAAGTATGGTATGGAATGCAAGACTAACCCTGTAAAACTTTTGTTGTTGTTTTGCTTTCGGGGGTCTGAAAACCTCTGCAAACTTGGTTTTGTGACATGATATTTGACTTGGTGCCTGATGAGGATATTGGTTGTTGGTGCCTGATGAGGATATTGCTTGTTGCTGC